CCGTTTCGCCCCGCCGCACGTGCGCAGTGTGTCTCGTCTCCCGCCGGCGCTTGGTAGCTGTTAACCGGCCTCCGAGAGAGGTTGACTTTGTAGGGTATTTGAAGGTGAATTGTGAAGTCAATGCGATGGATGGTCTGCGCCAGGAATGACGAGCGGTGCCTTTTATTACTCTTTTTTGAAAACGACAGTCCGATTTCGATAGGGTTTTGCGAGTGTGTTCATTGGACAGAGTCTAGCAATGGAACGGTGTGTCCTGTTGGAATATGACGATGCGTTTCCTCAAATCTCTATTTCTCGTGATTGGTGTGAATATTGTTTTCTTCGTGGTGATTGGTTTATTGTTTGGAACGGTCGTTATTTGGCAATGTGATGGCAAGTATGATCATCTGCAAGTGTGTTAATTGGACGGAGTCCAGCAATGGAACGCTGTGTCCCGTTGGAATATGACGATGTGTTTCCTCAAATCACACTTTCTCGTGTTTGGTGTGAATGTCATTTTCTTTGTGCTGATTGGTTGATTGTTTGGAACGGTCGTCGGTTGCCAATGTGATGACAAGTATGATCAGTGCACCTAAGTACGGACAGCTTTGCCGGCAAGCCGATGAATTGATCCAATGATCCGTTGATCGGTTGGCCGCTAGACTTGTCCAAGTTAGGGTGTGATGCTCCGCGAGGTCGACCATTGGTGGTGGACTGGGTTTCGTTGTGTTGATGAAAGCGCACTGAAAACTGCGCAAAAAACGCATTCACGCTTCAGTCCTGCTGACAAGGCAACAGATCAATGAAAGGTGCACACATCGCCCCTAACATACAAACCGCAACATGCAAAATAAAAAACAAAAAATGAAAGACAATAAAACGAAAAAAAAACGAAAGAGGAAAAAAAGAAATTTGGATTGCAATCACATACACGAAACCACACCATCGTCACAGAGCACCGATAGCCGCACACACGCAGTCGGAACTTCAGTCTACAGTACACATTTGAAAAAAGGAGAACAATAACGAGTCACCTCCGGACAGATCACCCCACTGACAGACACCGTCTTCTTCGAAATCGAAATCGCGCAGCTGTGCGCACTCACTCACAACAAACTGCATCACCGGGCGTTAACAACCTACTACAAAATGGTTAACAAAAAAAAAGGAAAAGAACTGCGGATGAACAGCGTCTCCGCCAACGGGTCCGCAACATCAGCGATCAACGACAACCCGCAGTGAACGTGCACAACACCCCAGGGCACGGCACACGCCTGCGACAACAACAGAACACAGAACGCCTCCGTTGGACGATGACCCCAGCACGACCTCCACAAGGACGGTAGAGCCACGTGCCGTCGACGCGGTGTGCGCCTTCACGCGTGTTTCATCCGCTCCGCCAACGCCTCGTGTAGCGCCAACGCACGGGGCCGATTGAAGTTCTCAGCAATGGGGTGGGGTGGATGATCCAACCCCAAGTCCACTTGCCGCCGCACGCCATTAGCATCCACCTCCCACAGCAAGTTCTCGTCGAACTCAATGCCAGCGTCAAGGAGGATGTTGTGCAGAATGCACACGGCCTGGAACTGTTGTGGGAGAGTGTCCATATTCGTCTTGTGTGTGTGGAGGAACAGCCTCCACATCCCTTTCAATCTCCCGAAAGCTCTCTCCACTTCTCCCCTGGCGACCTTTGCTTGTTGTTGAACCTTTCCTCGTCGGGGATTTGATCGGTCCCCCCGTACGGCAAGACAATCCACTCCAGCGGCGGATAACCGTTGTCGCCCAGAATGTAACCGTGTGTCCTCACTCCGAATGGCAGCACAATAGGAGCTCCACGGAAAAGATCCCCCTCCTCCGCACGCTGTAAGAGGGCCCGACCTTCTGGCCCTCCTCGGTATGTCAAAATTTGCCACACCTAAGACATATTCCACTAGCCCAACCTGAGTGAGCCATGGTCCCACTGCTCTGCTTAACGGCAAGGGGTTGTGCTATGGGTCATCAAGTTAAATAGCCCTGATCATTCCGCGGCCAACCGCTGATTTTTTTTTTTTTTTTTTTTTTGCGAAGGGCTCAACTAGCCTTGATAATAAATAAGATAGAAATAATAATAATAAAAGAAGTCGGTCTAAGTGGCGGCGGTACTCACGTTGGCAAGGCCTAGATCCATATCAGAGGGTGTCTGACGGGACCGTATTTCTGCATCCGGGCCTGAAAACCAATTCCACCAGCGGGGCTACCGTACCTGGAATGAGTGCCAGCTGTAGTACCGCTGGGCTGGGTCTACTTTGGCGGTACCTTTCCCGTTCCATGACGCGTACGTGCGTGCTCAAGCGGCACGTGTCAACGGGCACAACAGTCAGTTGTCGGCCTAGGGAAACTGCCACTTGGCAGTTATAAGAAGGGGAAGTCTTTGACTTGCCCCTCGGTCCTGACGCGTCACTTGCTACT